GATTTCCAGCCGGGGGTCAGGCCCACCCTGCATGGTTAGTGCCTGAACATGAGAACTGTTCCTTGCACAGCCCAAGGAGGGTGGCAAAGGGCGCACGCACGTTCACTCTCTTGCATGTGCACCTCCACCACTGCCCTGCCCCCAGCACCACATTCACCTGCTCCCCTGGTGATCAGAAAGCAGTTCACACATGCTTTGCACTGGTGGAAATGAGTGCACGAGGGGCAGTGAACGTTGCTTATCACCAGTGAGTGTGTGTGTGTGTGTGTGTGTGTGTGCGTGCGCATCCCTCTCCTGAGATAAACACCTGCATGGGTTCTAACCACCCCTTGCCAAGGTGCTTTGGTTCTTGGGGCGTCACAGAGACGCTCCCACTCCCTGCCCTTGCTGCCTCCACTGAGAGTAGAGGTGCCTCCTGGTGCAGAAAAGGGCCAGACATGGCGCTGGCACACAAGCACCTGGGTCCCTTGGCTGTGGCAGGACAGCCCCACAGAGGAAAGGAAAGGCCTGTCCAGCCAGAATCAGCAGGGTGAGGGGCTCAGCTCCGTGCAAAAGCCACCCACGCGGCCTTAGGAAGCTGTCGGTCGGCTTCTGGCCCACGGCAGGGCAGGAACAAATCCAGGGACCGGACGCAGCCTCATTTGGGGCTGCCAGCCCCAATAACCACGGGGAGTTGGGGGGGGGGGCATTTCCTCATCTACGCCCAGGAGGTGCCACGCCAGTTGCCATGGTGCTAGCCAGGGCCGAGGGTCTGGCGCTTCGCCGATGCAGGGGTAGGGTTGCCAGGTGTCTGGTTTTCACTCAGACCGTTCGGTATTTTGGTCTTCCATCCGGAAAACCCCCCCAGAGAATACTGGACATGTAAAACGCCTGGTATTTTCTGTTTTCCTGGGATGGATGGCCACTGTCTTCTGCGTGGGCGTGGTCATCTAAAGGCGCAGCGACCTCTTTTTTTTTTTTTCTTCAACCAATTTTTCCCTGCCTGTTCGGGATTTTTTGTGAAGGTATCTGGCTACTCTAGGCAAGGGCATGCGGGGTGCTGAGGGGATTGGTTGGCTCTGTGGGGTGCTTCTGGGCTCCAACAGCCCTGGGCAGCTTTTCCAGCAGGCTTGGAGGACGGCCAGGTAGTGGCCAGGGCCCAGCATGGCTGGCTGTGGGTTGTGCCCACCCAGCCCGGCATGGAAGGACAGCAGTGCCATGAGGGACTCTGTGGCCTGCCAGGGCAGGTCCCCAGCTGCCTGAGAGCCACATCACCCCACCAGTGCTGCTCTCCCAGTGGTGATAGCACCAGCCCCATGGGCCATGGGTTTGCCTGTGGGGCTCCCACACCGGCTCGTACCCGGGCACTGCGCTCCCCAGCCCCCCACGGAGAGGCTCTGGGCTTGTCAGGCAGGCTGTTGCCGGTCACTGAGCCCCCCCCCAAACGCTGCTCTGGGGGAGCTTGCTCAGCCCATGCCCCCCCCCCAGCACCGTTTTCAGGGCCCGGCGCCTCAGCACGTTGGGTTGGTTTCCCTTATTGCAGGTAAGGCACTTTCCAGGCGGGGCCCGTGCCAAGGGAGCCGCGCGACTAGGCCGCTGGCCTGCGCCCCCGAGCAGTGCACAGGCTGCTGGGTTTCCCTGCCCCGCCAGCATCGCCCCCAGCCTGGGCCAGGAAGCAGATTCTCCCCGGAGGGACCTGGCTGGGAGGAGACCTGCAGGAACAACTCGCAGGCTGCAGAGCTGGGAAGTGTGGGACTCCTGCCTCCCACACCGTGTGCACCCGGGTCTGTGGGAGCCAGAGGAGAAGGCCCCTGTTCCCGCCCGCCTCCCAGGCTGTGCCAGTGGCCCTGCGGGCGCACCAGGGGGCATCCTGCCCCCTGGCACTGCTTGGTGAGCTGGGCACCCAGCACAGGGGTTCCCCACCCCCGGGGAGCAGCAAGGACGCCCAGGGGAGGGCTGGGGGCTGTGGAGACCTTGGCTTTTGGGGGTCTGGCTCAGCCCACAGGGGATAGGATGGGAATCCAGGTCAGAGCCAGAACCACGCCGCAGGCCAGGAACAGCACAAACCCGGGACAACTGTGTTTCCAGGTGGGATGCGGGATGTCACACACTAATAAGCAGGCGCACGCACACACACACCCCACCAAGCAAACCCTGACCTTGCTTTAAGTTAGGAGAAGAGGAAGCTCTTCTTTGGTGGCCCTAGCTCTTACCATTTAGGAGCAGTTCTTGAACAAATGGACTCACAGACAGACACACACACACACACACAGACAGATGCATACACACGTGCACAGATGCGCACACACACGCATGCATGCCCATGCACACACATTCTTACACCACTTCTCTGGCACACATTTGCTCTCGATTGTGCATCGCTCTTTTGCCACGCACAGATGGGCCGAAGGGTGCGGCGTGGTTGTGGCTTGGGGGATGGTACACACACAAGAACTCCTCCCCATTATGTGGGATTCAAGAGAATCCCAGTTTCATTTCTAACCTGCCCCTCAATCCTTAGGAGTTTTGCCAGATTGATAAACCCATTCCCAATCTGCCCGGGAAAGACCACAATTTGCTGTGTGCCTGCTTCTTTCTTGGCAAGGTCATCAAACATGTACTCCACAAGATAGATCATACCTCACAGTTAGGTCTCTGAGGTACCTGGTAAATGCAATTTGTGTTATCTGATTGCTGGGTTGGAAAGGAAAAGACAGTTGGGACTTGGGAACTTGCCTTTTCCAGCCTTCAAACCCAACAGCGAAGACGTCCTTGGCAAACGACTGATTAGGCTGCTGCATTTTTAGTTACTACACAAAAAGCATGAAATCCAGACACACGTGCGACACATTTGCATCACCATTCTGCTGCCTGACTCTCCCAACGGTCATGTATCGGTTACAGAAGAGCAAGCACGTCCACGATAAATCGTGGACTGAAGTGTGAACCTTTGAACCTAAAGGTACCCTCTCCCGGTAGCAATGTTCCCTCTAAGTTTTTCCATCCATGTGTGGAATAAATGTGTCTAGTGCACATGCGGACGTGCACCACCAGTAGAAACCCATGCTACTGGCTTTGGGCTCTCTGCTAATCAGCTGGGTGGCATTTGAATCCCTCCTGGGCGGCCGCCCAAGGGCACAGCTTACAAGGAACACTGCCCATTAGCCATAACCAGAGTTGCTTGTGCAGCGAAGGGGGCACATACACTTGGCATTCCACAGAACATGAGCCAGATGTACAGGGACAAGAGCAAATCATTTTCCCATGCAGACTGTTCTTTGAGAACATGTGTTCATCTGCCAGTTCTCCACCATTTTTGGTTTTGCTCTTAAACTCTGTTGTTGCTCACCACAGACAAGCTAGCAAGCTCTCTTCTTGGCACTTTTGTGCATTACACACGTCCCTCTACATCAGGCAGCTAGAATTTTCCCGACTCACGTGCATGAGAGACTGTTACATACTGTTCTGCTTTATAAATAGGTTTGATGGCTGGATTTGTCAATGTTTATATATTCATTTTCTCCTATTAAGACACCCATAGCATCCTTCTCCCATGCCAACATCGGCTTCAGACTCCTGTCTTCCAGCCAGGCACAGATGATGCATATTGTGGAAGCAATGCAGTAGGTTAATACGTAGGAAGAGAGACGTGAGTATTGCTTGGTTTCACCCATCAGCTGATGACTGGATTGTTGTCATGGCCGTAGAAGGAACACTTGGTGTCCTTCACCATTCACTGTAAACACCTGGGATTAGACAGTTTTAGACGTGGCAGAAGCCAGATTTGAGTCATGAAGGTTTTGTCTTTCTGTGCCATCCACCAACATACAAATTAGATAAAGGCAACAGTCTCCCCCAGTCCCAACTGTCTCCAGTGAGAGTCTAAGTTTGAATTAACCACACTGAATTGAAGTTTATGAGACTGCCATTAGATTTTGCTCTCCAGAAAACTAAAGGATACCGAGAGTAGATGCTCCCCACATAGAACTGTAGGGAGGGTACAACCTGGTTCAGACCTGGAGAAGAGGGAACGTTTTCATGGCAGCAGAATGTTGGGCCCCGTTTAAGCTTGGTGCCCACAGAAATAACACTTGGGTTTCTGAAGAATTTACTTACATTGTTCTTTTTCCTCTGTTGCTCAACAGCGTTTTTCAGAAAGTCCATCTCATTCCGCAGACTGAGGATTTCTGTCTCTTTCCC